CTGCAAACCCTCTGGGCTCTCCCCACCACCCAGCGCCTCACGCTTCCTCCAGAGGCTCAGCCCAGCTGCGGGCACGAACAACAGGGTCTTCCCTCTCTCCTCTGCACCTGGCTTTGTCCTCACCATTCCACCCAGACCCCCTCCCCAAGTCCACAGTCAGTGCCCTCTGGCTAAATCCAGGGCGTCTTTCCCCACCTCGTCCTCCGTTGGTTTTTCCCTATTTCTTTGGCCTCCAGGACACAGCTGCCCTGTGTCCTCCCTCCGCTCTCCACCCTCAGCCATGGCCATGGTGCTATCCAAGTGCCCACTGTCCCTGACTATCCTCTCTTCATAAGCCACCCCTTCTCCCCATGCCAGGATACACCCTCTCCAAGTCAACTACCTCTCTACACAGTAGACTTTCAAATTCCCACCTCCCACGTCCATCCCTCCCCTCCCCCAGACCCAGGTCCTGACCCTTCTACGTAAAGTAAGTATTCCTACATCTTCCTCACCCTGCAGTCTGGCTCCTTGCCAAGCTGCAGCCCCTCTTTCTCCCTCCCCGCTCCCCCCTTTCCGCCCCCCACGCAGGCCTCATTAGATGGTCAATATGGTCATGCTGGCAGCAGTTCCAGGAAGCCACCCAGGGCAACCTGACCCCGGCCTGGTGTTCTTCCATTGCCACCGCGCCGAGGTGTGGCCAGCCCACGACTCAGGATCCATGCTTCAGTCCCGGCCAAGGAGGCCACGCTTGGAAGGAAGACAGCCATGGAGAAGGCTGGAGCCCGGAGGATCGCAGACGTTGTGTGAGGCTCAACACTTCTGTTCGCAGCAGCCCCAGGGTGACCCTGGCCAAAGCCACAGGATTTCCCTATGTCCTAGCCAAGATGGGTCACACCGAGCTTAACCGCCAAGAGAGACCACAGGCAAGGCAGACAGCGGCCAAGGCTCACAGACAGCTGGTGACTGTGCGTCCCCATCACACCCACCCCTCCGCCCCCAGCAAACGAGAAACGTCCGTAAACATCTGTAGGAAAGGAAAATCCATTCCGTCCCACTGCTCCCTGGGAAGTCCCTCCTGTTGTCTAACTCCGATCCCTCTTGTTGCCAACTGAATGAGCAGGAACAGCAAGGACCAGAAGGGAGGCACAACGTGAGGCTGGGGGTCACCAGGGCGGTGGGCGAGGCCCATCGTGAGCCAGACAAGTCCCCTCCCTCGGGATGAGAGCACAGAGCAGCAGAGGGATTGGTGGGCAGACAGGCCTGCGTTCAGAAACTTGTCGGCTAAACGGCATTGGACAAATTCCTTAATCTCTCCCGGTCTGTTTTCTCATCTGTGACGTGGGAACAGCAGTCCCTGCATGAATAGGATCGGATCACTGGGAGCACCAAACGAGATCATACATGTAACCGCTGACACACACCAGACACCCAACCCCTCCGCTACATGGCTCCACCTCCTTATTCATGTTTCTCAGTTCCATCCTCTCCACAGACTTCCTCCAGAGCTCACCTTCTCTCAGGCTCCTCCTCCTCCTCCTCCTCCACCTCCTCACCGGTCTCCTTGCTTCCAGGCCTGCTCTTCCCACCCACTGTCCTGGCCACGGCCAGAGGCCCCCCTCCGAAATGAAAATACGCCCCCATCGCGCCCCTCCTCACACTCCTCCCCGAGTCACTTTCCACGCGGGAGAAACGCCTCGCTCCTCAGCGTGGCATTCCAGGCCGCTGATGACGGGCCTGTGTTTACCTCTTAAGGCTCACCCAGCGTCCCCTGCCCAGCCCGCCGGCCACATGTTGCTTCACGCCTCCCAGCCTTTGCACACTCTGCACCCTCGGCCAGGAGTGACGTCCCCAATCCCACCCACTTGGCCTCCTCGTCCTTCCAGATGAAACTCGCTGGCCCCGATGCCACCTCCTTCCCGGGAAAGCTTTCCTTAGGAGCCATGTCGCCTGCCCGGACTGCTGGGGACCCCTCCTCCGCCTCTCACGGCACACGCCCCCCTGCGTGTGATCACCTCCTCCGCCCTACGTCTTCTGGGGACAGGGTGGAGCCATGCACCCTGGACCCCCAGCCCTGGCATTCGGTCAGCGAGTGTGGAATGGATCTATCATTGCTCCCAGCGCACCTGGTTAGCGCAGTCAGCACACTACCTGCCTGCCATGAGTCCTATCCGGGTACCTGTTTTTCCCCCTGGACCCCAAAGTTCCCAAAGGGGCGTGGCAGTTTCTGATGAATTCCCATGGTCACTTTCCTATGTGGGGGACGCAACTCCAGGCACAGGGGTGAATGCGATGACTCCTGCTCCCTAGAGTACCAGAGATTTGCCATTTCCTCCTCTGAGTCCGAGATAAAGCAGAGTGTCCCACTGCTTAGGGAACAGGGCAAGGTACGGCCCATTATTGATTTGACCCTTTTCTTCCAAATGATGTGGAAACCTGCCTCGAAGGAAGAGGGAGGCCAACTGGGGCTACAGGAGAGACTGACAGGGGAGCCGGGCTGTGGTTGGGTGGAGTGTAGCCAGGCAACCCTGCCCACCCCGCCCTGTGGATTCAGTAAACACGAGGAGAGTGCTGAACACCTTAAAGTGGGGGTGTCAAACTCAATCAGAGAAGGGGCCAAAATCTAAAATCCAGCCTAAGTCGCCGAATGGTTTACTGAACAGTCAAAAACTGTCATTGTGATGGAAACGCAGCGGAGTGCAGTGATGACAGCGCGGTGCGGGCCACATTGCAAGGCCTGGCGGGACGGATTTGGCCCGCGGGCCTTGTGTTTGACACACGTGCCTTAAAGAATTCATAGCTCCCATTGACAGGTGGGAAAACTGAGGTCCTGGGAGGTGAAGACAATTGCCCAGCGTCTCCAAGGCCCCCCAGGGAGTTGGATGCGAGCAGGGGGAGTCAGGGAAGAGGTCCCGCCCCCAAGCATAGGGTCTCCAGTGGATCTCTGGCCACTCCTGGTGTCCTCACCCTGCCGACAACCCATGGCCGCAGGGGACCGAGTCCCAGGGCGGCAGGCTGAGGGGCTGAGTCACCCTGATGGCGAAGCAGCGCAGGAGGAACAAAGGGGAGGAGGCTCCTGGCTCCCCGCAGGGAGAAACGCCTCACCTCCACGGTCAGGGTGACCTGGACGTGGAAAAGAGAGCCACTTCCTCCTGCTGAGGACGGAGACCTGGGCCGCAGGGGATGAGCCATGAAGGTGCATGCAGACACCTCAGAGTCTTCTGAAGCCTCCAGCACCAGCCTGGGCCTTCACACACTGCACAGGGCAACCCCCGACCTCACCCCCACCCCACCCCGGCCTCACCCCCAGGACCCTCAGGGGCATGGCAGTGCCCAAGAGCCAGCCACAGGACACGGGACCACGTGGGCTCCAGTCTAGGCTCTGCCTCTGACCCCTGCTTAAGCAAGACAGGTAACCTCTCTTGCTCTGGTTCCTCTTCAAGAAAACAGGAAGAGGAGAACTAATCCCCTTGAAGAGCTGTCAGGAGGATGGCTAGGACGACGCAGTTTCTAAATCTTGGGAGCACCAGTGACCACTGAGCCTCAGTGGCTTCCTCTGGGAAATGTCCGTGATCGCTGGAAGCCCTCTCTCATGCTGCTGAGAGCGTGTGTCAGGCGGCTGTGGGTGTGAAGCTGCTTTGTCCGTGGTCCCAAACATGATGACCACGGCGGGTTATTGCTCCCCAGTCTATGAGCTCCTGCAGCACACCTCTCCAATCCCCACACCATACCTGGCACCACAGCAAGGGCTCAGTAAATCATTATTGGAAGCAAGGAGAGAGAGGGGTAGGGTGGAGAGAGGGAAGAGAAGAGGAAGGAGTGGGGCACAAGGATAGGAGAGAGGAAAGAAAAAGCGCAAGAGGGGTTGCAGAAGAGGTAAGAGGAGGAGATAAGGGAGACGCTTCTATCAGAACTTAAGGAAGTGGGTAGATGGAGAGGGCAGAAGTAGGGTGCAAAGCTGAGCCCCTGACCAGGGCTGTGCCCAGGGGCCACCCTGCCCCAGCTGCAGCCCCTTCCCCCTTTTCTGTCCCCGTTTTCCACTTCAGAGGCCTATCCTCTCCCTCTCTGAGTCCGGGCAGGCTCCTCCGATAGCAGCCCCTGTCCCACCTCCAGCTCCAAGCAGATCCAGGCCGGCCAGCCAGGCCTCAGGGAGGTCAGAGGGAAAGGAAACAGAGCAGATAGGATGCGCTTTTCCCAGGCTCCCGGGGGGCCTCCCACTGTGTGATGTGTGTGTTTCCACTTCTCTCCGTGTGGGGGGACTGCAGCGAGTGTGTCAGCAGCCCAGGGTCTCCGAGCCTGTGACCACGGGGCACTGTGCGGTCAGCAGTCTGGTGTGTGTCTGCTGGGGTCAGCGTTGGTGGGGTCTTGCAAACACCGTGCTAGCGAGACAGGTGCCAGCATACGCAGTCATGTCAGTCAGGGTGACAACCTGTGTATGCCAGGAAGAGTGTTTGTTGTTACAGTGACGGAACGTGACAGCGTGTGTGTGTCCAGTGTAGGCCAACACGTATGCCAGCACAAAGGTATGTTAGAGTTGATGTGTGCTGGAGTGTGGCAGTGTATGCCCACATGACTGTCAGCAAGAATGTGTTGGCAAGGGGTATCAGTGTGTGACAGTGAATGTGTGTGTGTGGTGTGTGTGTGTGACAGCATGAGCATGCCCATGGATGAGTGTGTACGTCCGTGTGTCCACATAAGCGTGTGTGCCATTGTGTGTCAGCCTGCCCCGTGCGTGGGTCCCTGTGTCTGCTGGCCAGTGCTGGTGTCAGCGAGCGAGGGTGTCTGCGGAGCCATGAGCCAGATGGGGCAGCCGGCTCCTCTGGGTGCCCCCGCCCAGGACCCTGCCAGCGACTGACTCCCCGGGAAACCTCAGGGAGGGAGAGCCCAGTACTGCTGAGCCGGAGCCTGGCGCTCCTGCATGACGGCGATCGCAGAGCCAGGGCGGGCGCCGACTGGAACCCCCGCCCGCGTCCAGGCCCAGGTCAGCCCCACGCGCCCCGGCCGCCACCCCCCGCACTCACCGTGTCCCTTTGTCACCCATGGTCCGCGGCGGCTGCAGGCAGGTCCCCGGCGTCCGCGCCCCGGCTGGGCTGGAAAATCCCCGGCCGCCGGCAGGAAGAGCGCGGGCAGCCGGCTCCCGGTTCCCTGCTCCGCCTCCTCCGCCCTCCGGCCTCCGCCGCCGCCGCCGCCCCCGCCCCCGCCCGATCGCCGCCGCCGAACCGCCCGCCCGCGGGGCCGCTCAGCACCCAGGCCGCGGCCAGGGCGGGAGCCGTGCGGGGAGCGCGCGTGGGGCTGTGTGTGTGCGCGCGCGCGCGCCGCCCAGCCAGCCGCCAGGGCAGGGCAGCTGCAGGCGTCTGGGCCCGCAGGGCCTGGGGGTTCACACGCGTGCGTGTCCAGATGCGTGTGTGTGTGGGCTTTAATGGGTGTGTACGTGAGGGCTTACACTGGTATAGATGTCTGTGCGCGTGTGTGCACGCAAGAATGTGCTGGTGCGGGGCCGTGTGCACGCCGTGTGCGCGGGCCGATGAGGAGTGTGTGTGTGCAGATGGGGCGGTGTGCACGCCTTTGTGCAGCTGTGCCTGTGTGCAGGCGCGCTCCCCCACGCACACGGAGGGCAGGCAGCCTTTGTGTGGGTGCGGGAAGGTGAAAGCTGAGGGTCTGCCCACCCCAAGGCTGAGTTCCTGGCCGTGTCTCTGGTGGGGTGGTAATGGGGGTTGGAGGGGGACTCTGGGTGCCTGGCAAGGCAGTCGACCTCTGCTCCACCCTCCCCTCAACCCAACTCCCCACCCTTCTGGAGAGATAACACCCAACAACCCAATAGAGACAGGAAGCAGGGGTGGAGGGGGCAGGAGAAGACAGCAGCGACAAAGCTGGGGCACTGGAGGGAGCAGGGCCAGCGGTAGTGGCTGCCTGAAAAGAGGAAGCCCTGAGAAGAGGAGATAAGGAAGAGGGCATAGAGCTGGCCTGCTCCGCCCACCCGTCCGTCCGGGAGTCTGGCCTGGTGAGGTAGCATGATGCAAAGTTCCCTAGCCCAGCTCCACAGGCTGCTGTGGGTGACCTACAACTTCAGCTCTCTCAGAACCAGTCTCCAAACGTGTAAAGTGGGAAGCTAATACCAGCCTGCAGAATGGGTCATAGGTGTTTGCTGATCTCCCCTGACACACCATAGGTGCCAAGGAGATGTTAACCCATCCCCCTGCAGGCCTCAGGAGATGTCCTTTGAAATCCTGGCTTAAACCGGCTTTGTCTGAGGTTACTCCTGCTTTGCTGGCAGATGAGAGAAGTGTGAGGTCTTTCGCTGCTGGGATTTGGCTCATTGGCCCTGATAGGCCCCTAATATTGGCATATTCGTGGGAGGAAATGAAGCTATCATTTACTCTGATGTGATTGTGAGTCTGTAAACATCTCCTGTAATTATGCTCAGCAACAGATACCTATGCTGATTGTATAGTCGGGTAAGGATATCCCAATGGAATTGCCGTAATTACGTCCAGATGGCAAGTGATGGGGGGTTTGAGGGTCCGACAGGCAGGCAGGGTGGTCCAGGGTCTGGACAATGTTCGGAGCTGGGAGAGGGTGGATGATGGTTTAGAACTCTCCTCCCGGCCTTAGTCTCTGGGCGTCACCCTCACTCCCACAGAGGAAGGAGAGAAGGCACCTGCTGTTTCTACGAACGGCAGAGATCTGGAGAGGAATGTACCAGAGTCTTGTCTAATGAGAGGAGGCTCCCAGAGTGAGCCAGAGAGGATCCTTACTGAGATGGAGAGGCCAGTTTCCCCACCTGGAAAACAGAAGCTCAACCAAAGCACGTGATCTCCATTCAGATACCCTCTGCCAGCACACAGCTCTTCCCCGCCCAGTTTGGCAAGCACGGCCCTGACCTTCTTGGGACGCTGAACAGACGGGCGGCCTGTGGAGTCAGCATACAGGATCTCACGTACATCCCTGCCAGCCCATAAACTTCACTAGGGGTGTGTGGTGTGCCTGGCACGGCTCGATGCTCACTATTCTGTGAGATAAATGTTCTTTTCCCTTTTTTTAAAAAGAGCAAACTGATACTCAGAGAAGAAGCCAAGTAGTTTGCCGAAAGCCGTAGGTTCCTGTGGACCTTGTCCTCTGACTTTCCCTCTCAGGCCCTCCCCAAAGGGAAGCTAACATGTAGTAGAGCTAGAACGTGGCTCGTGATTTACTCCTCACTCAATAACTGTTTTGTTCAACATGCCACATGTGGCCCTAGGTCCTTACAAACAGTCATCAATGGGACAGAAGGAGCTGTCATTCCAGAGGGATGTAGGAGTGGGGAAGGGGTGAGGGGTATTTTGACTTTACCTGTCAGGAATACAACCTGTTATGTATTCCTGGTGTGATCAGAATCAATAAAAATGTAAAAGTAGTCATCTTGAGGCGACCTCTAGAAATACAAACAATCTAGTTTCAGGCAGCAGTAAGTGTTTTAAAGGACATAACACGATGATTAAAGCATACTGGCGGCAAGCATTCTTAGGAAAAAGCTCTTCAAGGACATGACCTCTGGGCTGAGACCTGCAGATGAGGAGCCAGAGCTGTGTGGGGAGAGCCAGGGGCAGAGGGAGCAGCAGGTATAGAAGCTGTGCCGTTTGGAAGCCCAGGACCAGGGGGCCTGGGTTTGGGTGACGGGAAGAAATGGTGAGATCGTGCAGGGCCTGTGGCTGGAACTAAGGAGTTTGGGGAGCCAGTGGAGGACTGGGCAGATGAGTAACAGTGACTACACTTTTAAAGGTCACTCTAGCTGTTGGAAAGAGTTATCTTGGAGCAAGACAAAAACAGAAGCAGTCACTCCATTATTGCAGCAGGCAAGAGAGAGTGGATATGGCTTGGACTCAGGTGGTGGCAGCAGAAATGGGAAGAAATAAAGAGATTCATTTATATTTGGAGGTAGAGCCAACAGCACCTGCTGAGGGACCAGCTGTGGACAGGGGAGGATCCTGGCTTACTCTAAGGGCCCCGTCAGGCCTATTTGTTCCACCCTCAATGCAGGCCACCTCCCCCTGCATTTCTCCAGGGACACTGATGGTTGAGCAGCTCAGAGGCTCTTTCTTTCCTGCCTCAACCCATTTGTAACACATCTTCCTCCTGAAAACCAGAGCAATTTTTCTAAAAGGCAAGTAGATTCTACTACTGAGGAGATTCTCCATCTTGTAGGAGATGTTATCTCCAGCCAAGTCCCAATCTGAGCCAATCACATGCTTGAATATTTATCACTCACAATAATAATTCCTTATCCAAAGGTAGATAGAAATAAAGTATTATCCCTGCTTTATCGATGAGGAAAGAAAGGCTCTATGAGGGAATGTGCCTAAGCCAAGGGCATAGCAAATAAAAGGTACAGCTGCAGCTCAAACCCAAAGCTTCTGCTTAGCTGGTCAGATAGTTGAATGTCAGATTGAAATGTGAGTGGGTAGGTGGGTGGGTGGGTGAGTTTTCAGCTCACTGCTTAACCAAGGATGTGAGGCTGACTGGTGCATATGTTGGAGATGTTAAAGGTTAATAAACTAAGGAGCTTCTATCCAAACCGGATATCTGGTTGTAATCATTGACTCTTCCTTTAATCCTCTCAATCCTTATCAAGCCAGTCTCTATCTCCTATGTGTTCCCCTACCTAGGGGATCATGTTAAGGATTTGATCTTTATCCAAAGATCACTAAAGAAGCTTTAAAAGATTATTTTTTAAATATTTTTATTGATTTCAGAGAGAGGAAGGGAGGAGAGAGAGATAGAAACATCAATGATGAGAATCGTTGATCGGTTGCCTCCTGCATGCCCCCCTTCTGGGAATCGAGCCTGCAACCCGGGAGTGTGCCCTTGACTGGAATCGTACCTGGGACCCATCAGTCTATAGGCCGATGTTCTGTCCATTGAGCCAAACCAGCTAGGGTGATGCTTTAAAAGATTTTAAGCAGAGCAGTGACACACTCAGACATGTGTTTTGCAAAGATGGCTCTGGCTGACGCGTGAAGAATGAATTGGGCATGGGCCAGAGGGGACGCGGAGGGGAGACCAATTAGGAGGCCGAGTGCACAGTTTAGGGAGGAATGGTAACTGCATTCCAGGGAGAGAACATTCAACAGCTGCAAAGCCAGGGAGGAGGAAAAGGGCAAGATATTTTGGAGGAATTCAGATGGATCTGTGGCCAGAGGACAGAGAGGGAAAGGGAGGAGCTGAAAAGAAGGAGGGGCCATATCCTGAGGAAGCAGCTCACAGATAGGTCAGCTTCCAATATTTTTTACATCTATCTATCAAAATTTCTTGCCCTAACTGGCTTGGCTCAGTGGATAGAGTGTCAGCCTGTGGACTGAAGGATCCCGGGTTTGATTCAAGTCAAGGTTGTGGGCTTGATCCCCAGTGGGGGTGTGCAGGAGGCAGCCAATCAATGATTCTCATCATTGATATTTCTATCTTTCTCTCTCCCTCTTCCTTCTTCTCTAAAATCAATATATATATATATATATATATATATATATATATATATATATATATATATATATAATGATTTCTTCAGGATGGGATTACGGTGTTTAACCATCACTAAGTGGACAATTCAAGGTTCTCATCTGTAACCAACAAAACCAATTCTGGCTGGCTTTAATATACAAAGATAACTTATTGGCAGGCTGTCCAGGTAGCTGCTACTGGTGAATCAAGAACACCACAACTCAGACCCCTCTATAGCCAGCACTAAGCCTACCCCTAGAAACCGCATGTGGCCACTGCACCAGAAAGAATTCCTTGCTGGGTCTCATCTTTGAGTCAAAGTTGCCCATGCCTTTGATTGGCTGTACCTAGTCATGTGCCCTTGTCCTAGGTCATGTGGCCCTGTCCTTGTTGCAAGGACCCAGAAACTGTGTTGTTGTCACTTGTGATTTCCATATCGGGAGGCAGGCTTTAACTGACTCCAAGAATCATAGGATGAAGGATTCCCCAAACACGAGAAGAGGGTTTAGAGGCTGAGTAGCCAAAAAAAGTATAAATATCCATTTTACTGCAAAATGCAGCCAAGCGAGCTACAGTAAGAACTCAAAAATAGATCCAATACCCAGGAGATGACAGAAAAGGACAGATACCCTTGTTAACAGAAAGGCCTTTGTCATGTTGTTTTAGTATCGCTAGCTTCCTAAAACAAACAAACAAACAAAAAACAGAGACAATGGTTCAGATTCTAGTTATGGTAAAGTACCTTGT